CCCCAAAACCCCAAAACCCCAAAACCCCAAAACCCCAGATTTTTATGGAGGAATTGAAATTAGATTGGAGGTTTGAAGAGATAGGGGGGATTGTTATTCAAGTTTTGTAGAATTTCTTCTGAGAAGATCTATTCTGGGCATCTTCCTTGGGATTGTAAATTTAGAAAATTGAAAAGAGCTTAAATCACCGGAATGTAGCCTTCTCAAGATTGGAGATTTGATTTTTCTCCGAGAAGGGGCCATTTGAGAAGTTGGACTATGAGAAGAGCAATTGGTTGGAATACTTTCAATCTTTTCGCTTCTTTTTGATTGGAATGGATCCTTCACCATCAAAAATCTTGAATCAATCTTCTTTTTAAGAGCTAAAGGATCGCTAGAAGTCTTTATAGCAGGGGCTCTTGAAAGAACTATTGAAAGATCTCCATTTCGTGCCAGTAGCTTCTTTCTATAACTCTTCTTTACATTAAACGAAAGAGTCTGCATCTTAGGGCTAAGAGGCCTGTTCAGCCTGATCTTCTTTAATGAATCAAAATCCTTCTCAGAAGTATCTGCCTTGTTTATCTTAACTCTCATGTTTTGAGGCGAGATCTTAATAGATTGTAATTTACGAATTCTGAGTTGATCGTTTCTTTCTTGTTGTCTATTCTTTTGAGAGAATATTCTGAACCTGTTGCGCCTTTTCCTCATAGGTATCTTCATCTCCTGTGCATTATCCCTTCTACCACTTGGAGCAATGAAGTTTTGAGTCAGTGTGGTGTATCCCATCTGCAAAGTATTTTCAGATTGTTTCCTGATAGTTCTGGGAGAGAACTATAAAACAGTTTCAAAAGTTCATAACGAAACTTATAATGTAAAAGAATTCTTGGAAATTTAGGTAATTTTTAAGATAGGAGTCTGGGACACATTTCTGTATGAGTATGCTTACCATTCTAGAGTTCTCCTGAATCGAGGATATCTGCTTTCAGCTGAAACAACATTTTGGGATATCTCTTGAATTAGTGAAATTAGGGGTGTTAAGGCTATATAATAATGAGATTCTGGAAAACAATCGTTATCATGCTAAATTCTGGACAGCAAAATTCACATATGTTTATGAAAGAACTGAGGGTGTATTATTGAGAGAAAGGAAAAGATTTTAAAGTTTCATTAGTAAAAATTCATTAAGTATTAAATCCTGCAGAAACAGCAACTTTTCCTTTCTGTAACCTTACACTTGGAAGAGACTAGGAGATATACCTTATTAGTTTGTAGAATTTATTGAAAATAGTAAAAATTGGATTTCTAAAAGTGCTAAAATATTGCCTAACTTTTATGAAGTCCTGTACACTTCCTGAAAAATATAACGACAGGCATATTTATAATATCTAAGATTATTATTTTAGAATATAAAAGCAGATCAGATACTGATGCTAAGTGATGTTAGGAAAGAAATTGGCTCATGACTTGCAATCTAGAGAATTTAGAGAGATGCTAAACTAGCAAAGGTAAGATATTAAGCATGTTTTTGCACTTCAAAATCCAATCATTTCATAATATATAAAATTGTGGGAACTGAGAATACGATATTGCTCATATAGTCAATGTTTTTGAGAAAATTTATAAGGACTGAAATGAAATATATTATAAGTCTTTAAAATATGGTCGTAAGATCCAATGGAAGTAATATTATGTTCATAAAAACTACGGCAAAGATCAGTACCTTAATTTAAGAGAGACTCCTTTTAATAATTTAGTGATCTTGAAAATGTCTCAAGACACAAAATAAGATGGAATGATCAGAATTTATAGAGACAAGTTAAAATATAAAATTTTCCCAAACATCATTCCTTCATCTGTAAAATTTTAAACATTAAAATCAGCAATCCAAAACTTCCACAAAAACATGTTCATCCCTATGCCTAAAATACATTTAAAAACACTTAAAATTGTTCAAAAAGACCGTATTTGCACTCCTTCTTTTAATTTTTCTAATTTCTTAAATACTCCTCTCTCCCCTTCTATTCCAAACTTCCTAACTTACTTGTCCATACTGAATATATTAATTCTTCAATTCCTTATAAAAATACTGGGGTTTTGGGGTTTTGGGGTTTTGGGGTTTTGGGGTTTTGGGGTTTTGGG